ACATTTACCTTTTTCTAGACTAAACACAGGTATGATCCTAAGTTAAAAACATATGAGGTTATCATGAGGTTGTTAACATCGCAGTTTTTCAGTGGATGTTTGCTGGAACTACTTGTTAACAGCGTGTTTCCTGACGGACACACACAGCGTGACTCCGGTCAGGTAGAGACCGGTCTCAAGTCAGCACCGCTGCAGACTCGCTGTTGAGGGCTTGATAGCCCACTCCCCCTCCACACTCGTTGCTTTGGAACAGCCCTCAATATGGCGGACCGTCCGCGTGAACGTGCAAATGGAGGGGTAGGGTGTAGGGGGCGGTTTGGGAATGGGCCTGAGTCATTTGCTTTATTCAAGTGAGAACACAGCCGATTGGTTCAGACAGGTTTGGGGTGATGATAACAGAGTCAGGGCAACAGGTGGATGCTGCTGTGTTACACAACCATCCTCTAGCTGTGCCCGGGCTGTCAGCGCTCCGTAACAAGAGAAATGATCCCCCTTGTGTCGCTCCTCCTCGTCTTGTCCCCATTCAGCCAACAGCTGATTGATGTGATGTCCTGCGGTCACGAACATGAACACGCAGTAGAGAGTGTTGTGTTACTGCCGATAGGAAATCACTTTGTCTTCTCTCCCCTCTCACATGCTTCTCCTACTTACCCATGTTTACTCTCGTGTCACCAGTGTTACACTGACTACTAAAGGAAGACGGGTTCAGTTTGACGCTTTGTACCAGCGATGGTTAAGATCACCATATTTCATTCCTGTGCTGTCTGCATTGACAGGCAATGATTTTAATTTCCTACCGAATCTAGTCGATTTTTTTTTTTGACATGCTAATATAGCTCACTTTAAAGATACTTATAAGAATAAAGCTCCCAAAAAACTGCCAAAATATGTATATGTAATTTAATAAAGTTACAAATTACATCATAATACAAAAACAATTAAGAGTTAAATAACAGTTTAAAGTGTTACTTCTCAACTATTTGTACAATAAGAAAAGAAAAATCTGGCACATGTCAATCCATTGCATACAGTTGCTGCTGCTTATCCCGCTCCATCTGAATTATTCAGAGTCAATTAGAGCTGAGAGGCTGAAGCTGGCACAAGTGCATTTTCAATGATTAATTTCTAGAGCAACGCAAGGGGTCTCTTAATTGTTGTTTACTGCTCGCTGCCCGACCACATGTTATTTTTATGCTGTCGTGATTACTCCCGGCAGCGCTCGGAGTGCTTGGGAAATGAAGTCCATTAACGAGTCCTGAGAGCTGTTTTCCTGTCAAGCGCCATTTAACGTTTCCAGGTTCAGAATCTCTGCTGTAGGAGCACAATAAATCTCATCCAATCTTAAGTGTCAGTTGGTGGAATAAGACGCACCGAGAGATGCAGGTGGTGTGTTTTATGGTACCCAGCAGTAATATACATGCAATATTATTTAGAGATTAATTTTTAATAGGATTGCTGCTACGGTTAGAAAAAGAAAATCATACTGAATAAAAATGAAAAAAGAGCATCTGACAGCTGACTAGTGCCACAAACTGCAGGTTGATAGTTTCAGAAAGGCACTTTTTTCTTTTAGTTTGTTTATTTCTGCCAGAGACAGTGAGGTTAAAGGCCTGAAGTTATTGCTAACATTGTTTGACAAGCTGTAAAAACACAGTTGGGAATTTTGCTCCATTCGTCGCCCCATTTTAGAATGAAATGAATTCGAATAAAAAATACACAAATAATTAAAACAATAGAACAGTTACATTGACAACAAATATTTATATTATCATAAGAAATAACACAGTATATACAGTGTTGTATTGATAAGGAAGTGCCTGTCCTCATCACCACCATGTATAATGCTGACTTAATTTGCAGTAAAAATATCGGTAATGTGGTTCACAAATTAATTTTCAATAGGAAAAAACATCTGACAGCTGAGCAGTGTCAGAAAAGGTGCACTTTTCTCTTATAGTTGTTTGTTAGTTTTTGGCAAACAGACACCGTGAGATGACTAAAGGCCTGAGGTTATTGCTGACAATGTATGACAAGCTGTAAAAGCACATTTTAATTCTTATGACGGACAACTATTTTGACACAAAAAGCCGGCTGGAATCTGAGAGTAGCACACCTCGCGGCAACACCTCATGCCTCAGCAAACCTTTTTTTTAGTATTCCCCCCCATTCATGAAAGTATTAATTGCATGTTTGAATTCCGAAGCGTAGTGTCCCTGCAACACACCAATGTTTGTTTTCTGCTGCTTTTGCACTTTTTTCTCTCCATTGAAACTGGTAGGGCAACACTGGAGCTCATGTTAGACTAGAATAAAACATTACAAATATAATTTCTGTTGTACAGTTAACCTGAATGTTATGGATTAGTGCAATATCCAAACCAGTGGTATAGGCAAAATATGTGAAAATATTTTCCTGAATGATGCCATGTGGTGCAAGGCAAGCTAACAAATTATATTCTACACACTTAATAAAACAGCTTGTTTGGTAAGATCCACATTGAAAACACACCATGATAATTTTATTATTTTTTAATAATAATGTGAATAATGTTAAAACAATTATCATTCCCTCCAATATCGCAAATCATGTCGCAATTGCAGTATCTGTATGTATGAACTTGTAATATTCCCACAACACGCAGCCCAGCACTAATGATGACTAAGCTGCTCCTCTGTTAAATATGCCATTCACTTTTGGACCGTTTCTGATGACCTGATTAGTAAGATGTTGGAAGTAGAAGTTAGACCTTGGAGAATTCTTGCAGTGACATTTTCTTTGGCTATACATTGCTATTTTCCATTGAACTCATTCGTTACCAGTAATTCATTTCAACAGCTTTAACGTTGCCGTGACAGCCAAGAGAGAAGAGACTATAGCCGCATTCACACCGCAGGACTTTCCCTGGTTCTTTAGTTCCGTTAGTACCAATAATGTCACGTTCACACCGCCGGGACTACTCAGTGCCCGGAACTCTTTTGGCCATTTTCAGTCCCTGCTAGAGAGGTGGTACGAACCTGGTGATAAAAGAGTGCCAATTTATATTCTATTTCTATTGGCTGGGCGAATTGCAAACCACGCCCCGTTAGACTCTGAATTTTTTTTGTTAGGCAGCCATTTTTTTCCTCGCTACAAATCCACATCCACACCTGAGCGAGTAGTTTTTTGTACTTTAAAGCAGTTATGACCACACGTACTACAACACCGGAGCGGTGGAATGATGAGGAAGTGTCGGCGCTTCTGGCAATTTACTCTGAGGACGGGATGCAGCAGCTTCTACAGAAAGCAGTTCCCAACTCCAAATGTTTTGAGCGATGTTCGCAAAAGCTACTTGAGCTGAGAATCGTGCACAGTGCACACGGATGCCGGGTAAAAATAAAGAAACTCAGGCAGGACTATAAAAAAATTAAAGACCACAATAATAAGAGTGGTAACGATTTTCTATTGTTATTATATATATATATATATATATATTGCCACTGTTTTTAATACTGACACCTAACTTGCACTAAGGTGTGTCTGCTGCTATATATATAGCCACTGTTACATTGTTTTGAAACTACTTACACTTTATTTTACATTTCACACTTTTATTTAACTTCAATTTACATGCATACGACACACCTGGAACAGCGTGATGCCGTTATTGTTATGTCTTGACTGTGCAATAAAACAAACAAACTGGCGAAGCTTTATTTATTGTGTCCCACCCCAAATGTGCAGAATAGAAGAATGTGAGAGCAGACAGGTGTCGGTGGTTGAATTGATCTACGATGTTGCAACCTTGTGCAGCAATGGCAGGGCAGAAACACAAGTCTTACACACATAAACACAAGTAATTTATCATGTCATTTGTTTTAGATAAATAAGGGAACAACACCAAACAAGGGTTAATGTCCTTTTCCAAAATCAGCCTGAGGGGGTAATATATAATAAATACATAAAGATAAAGTCCATTGTTATAATGGGGTATTTTATTTGTAAATGACCCTTATTACCCTTATGAACTCCATCATGTCTGAGGTCGGAAAGTAAACAAACACCTCATACAGCGGGTGGGCTTTATACCCCCTCCCCCCGTGTAGTTCTTCTTCTCTCGTTTTTTTTTTTACTCACCGTGAAGTGGTTTTGCGGCCTGCCAGTAAACCCAGAGAAGAAGAAGACGAAGTGACGTCAGCGTAATCTTGCCTCAGGGAAAGTACTGCAGTGTGAATGCGATTGGCACTAGCCCCCTGGCGGATTCTGTGCCGTGGTACTTTAGTGCCGGCACTAAAGTACGGCAAGTCCTGCGGTGTGAAAGCGGCTTATGTGTATTTATATTTAGGATTGCTATAAAATGGGAAAACTTGCACTTTATTGTGGCCCCTGTGTATTTCTAGTGGCTGATTGCAGCTCTTGTTTGTGTTCAGCTCTGTTGACACCTGTCAGAAGTGACAGAGGTGAGTTTCGGCTTCTGCTGGTTAGGATTGAATAGCCAGAGGCTTCCCTGTGTGTGTTTACACTCCTTGCAGTTTTGATTGCATAACACACAAACACGCCAGACAGTATGAAAAGTTTTCTTCTGCAATCGTCTCTGAGGTAAATCTCAGCCTTCAGAAAGCCTCTGTTTGCATTTCATCTTCAGGGAAGAGCCTTTTAATAAGACACTGACTTTCACAGCTGACCATGCAAGCTGTTGAGGACAAGATTTTGTGACTTAGATTCAAACTCTTGAGAAGTTTATTCAACTGTGTTTGTTGCCATGCCACAGTTAGTACCTAATTAACAATAGTATGACATCACTCACTGTAGAATATAGTTAATTTAGTTTCAACAGATGGAAATGGGACATTTCAATCAAATTGTCACACACTTACACAGCACTGCACTGCACACACAGTGAAATCCATTGGGCAGCCACTGGGCAGGGATACATGAAGTATTCTGATTCGGAGGATTTTAAATTGGTATATGAGCTTCTATCTGGAGTTTCCCATGCATATAAAAACATTTTTTTGTTGCAGCTTTTACAGCCTGACTGGAAGGAATCCTGCCACAACACACCACTGAGCTCTCCACCTGTGGTTCAGTGGGATGAAGCATTAAGAAACAACCGCTCTCTGTCTGTCCCCCCTTGGCCTGGCACCACCACCATCTTGGCTGGGAAATACATGGTGGTCACTACAGCCTCCACGGAGGTGCACTGACACCCTCACCACTCACCTCTCCTCACCTGTCAAGTCTGCCCGGCAACAACAACCACAGCAATGAGCTCTCAAAGCCGATCAGGTAAGATGTGAGAAAAAAAATTGTAGAATTTCACAAGTGGAGCTCTTGTGCTGTTCTCTGCATGTGAAGTTACTTTGACATTGAAAAGCCTTCTGCTATTGGAATAGGGAAAGTTAGGTTTGGCAATAGGAATTATGAATTTACGTAGATAGTTTCAGGGATGTAGACTTGTAACCTTTCCCAGTGTGCTTGACCTCGTCCCATGATGCCCTCTAAAATCTCCTTTTTTCTTAAGGGTGCGTTCACACAAGCCTTTTATAGTCCGGTTGAATCGAACCCTGGTGCGTTTAGCAGCTTGGTGCGGTTCATTTGGGTCGGTGTGAACACAGTCCGAGACCTCTTAAGTGAACTAAACAACCGGACTCTGGTCCGCTAAAATAGTTGGTCTCGGAACGCTTGCTTGCGAACTCTGGAACGGTTCATTGCTGGTGTGAACGCAGTCCGCACCAAAACATAGGAAGCGTAGTATTTACGTGTCACAAGAACGCGGATGTCTTCAAAATCTTTAGCGAAAGAGTCTTTCAAGACATCCGCGGTTGTTTAGTTAAAGAGTGAAGCAGAATTCTTTTTTTTATATATGATTTATTTTTGCGATTTTCAATTCACAAAGGCAGCAGCAATACAATGCATTACCCCTGCGATTTCTAATAAAACAACCCCAAGACACAATACATCAGTTACAATTAGACAATAATGTAATAATGAAAGTAAAAAAAAAAAAAAAAAAATTTTAAAAAAAAAATTAAAAAAAAGGGAAAGAAGAAATTAGAATAAAAACCTGCAAGACATTTTGTGAGCATATCTGTGAGCTGTTGCGGTACAGGGGGGGGGGGGGGGGGCGACTCAGCCAATGGGGACAGACTCCAACTGGAGGGACTTAATATGTTCAAAGAAGGGTAGCCATATTTTTGTGAACTTCAAGTCTGAGCCCCTAATACAGTGTTTAATTTTTTCCAATTTCACAAAGTATAGGGCATCCTTTATCCAATGTGTATGAGAGGGGGGACGAGGACTCTTCCAATGCATCAAAATAACGCGCCTAGCCAGTAATGTGAGGAAAGCTACAAGTTCAGCTAAATAGGATGGCAGTAAATGGTTAACGGGTAAGACACCAAACAGGCCAATTAAGGGTGAGGGATGGATGGTAACAGACGTGATAGTTGAGAGTGAGTCAAAGACAGACTTCCAAAACTGAGATAGGGTGGGGCAAGTCCAAAACATGTGGGCGAGATTAGCTGGTCCTAGGTGACATTTATCACAGTTAGGATCAGTACCAGGATAGATGCGAGCTAGTTTACTTTTGGACCAGTGCACTCTATGGACCACTTTACATTGTAAAACTCTGTGGCGGGCACAAATGGATGATGTGTGGACACGTTTCAAAATAGACTGCCAAACCTCAGTCCCTATCTCTATATTGAGGTCCTCTGACAAATTAGTTCGAAAGTTATCAGAGGGCAGAGGGTGGCATGTGAAAAGAGTATTGTATAGCTTTGAAATGGTACCCTTGAGGTTAGGGTTAATACTTAAGATAGTGTCAACCCAGGTAGAAGGAGGAATAGCAGGGAAACTTGGAAAACGATTACGAATAAAATCTCAGACTTGTAAATATCTAAAGAAGTGGGACTTGGGTAAATTTAATTTACGGGCCAGCTGATCAAAAGATGCAAATGTTCCATCAATGTAAAGTTGTTTTACAGACACAATCCCATTGATCTCCCATATTGAAAAGGCAGCATCAGTGATGGAGGGAGTGAACAGCGGATTGGAATGCACAGGGGACATCTTCCGGCGCAAACTGAAAACTCATCTCTTTCGACTCCACTTCGAGCGTTAGAACTATTAACGAAGCACTTTTATACTAATAAAGGACTGGCTTACCTAAAGCCAGTTGAGTAGCACTTGAAATGTTTGGCTCTATGAAACCTGATGTACTTATATGATTCTGTTTTCTTCAAGGTTGTGTCTTCCTGGTCGAATGTACTTATTGTAAGTCGCTTTGGATAAAAGCGTCAGCTAAATGCAATGTAATGTAATGTAATGTAATGGACAGTAGAAGTATTCCCTGGAACCCAAAGTGCCGTTTAAGTTGAGTCCAGATCTTGAGACAGTTTTGAACTACAATATTTTTGGAGTATTTTGAGGATGGTAACGTCAGGGGGAGGCACAAGAGGGACGTCAGAGAAGAAGAGCCACATGAGGCATCCTCAATCTGCAGCCACGGTGGAGGTTGTTTGTTAATACAACGCCAGGACAATAAAGTTTGAATGTTAGCGGCCCAATAGTAAAATAAAAAGTTAGGCAATGCTAAGCCACCCATTTCCTTGGTTTTTTGAAGAATGTTTTTTTCGAATTCTGGGTGTTTTCTTGTTCCATATAAACTGAGAAATTGAGCGATCAAGTGAATGGAAGAAATGTCTCGGAATGAAAACTGGTATACACTGAAAAAGATATAGAAATTTGGGGAGCACATTCATTTGAATGCAATTTATTCTGCCAGCCAGAGATAGAGGTAGGAGAGACCAACGTTGGAGGTCTTGAGTCAGTCGAACCAACAGAGTGGAGAAATTGCACCTAAACAAATCTGAGAAGCTCTTGGTCACGCAAACGCCCAGATACTTAAAACTTGCCAGAGATGTCTTAAACGGTAACTTTGAAAGGGGGTAGGCTGTAGCTGCAGTGTTAATGGGAAGCAGTTCACTTTTGTTAAAATGTAACTTATAACCCGAAATCTGCCCAAACTCCCTCAGCACAGCCGATACTGGAGTAATAGATTTGTCTGGGTCCGAGATGAATAGCAGAAGGTCATCAGCATACAAGGAGAGTTTATGCTCAACTCCCCCCCTTGAGATGCCCTGCATCTGACTGAACCTGAGGGCCACCGCCAGCGGCTCAATGGCAAACAAAAGAGGAGAAAGTGGACAACGCTGCCGAGTTCCACGCTTGAGGGGAAAATAATCAGAATAATCATTATTTGTGCGGACGCAAGCTAGGGGGGATGTATATAGAAGCCTAATCCATGAAATAAATGTGTCGCCAAACCCAAATCTTCTCAATGTGTGAAATAAATAAGGCCATTCTACCCGGTCAAAAGCTTTCTCAGCGTCCATTGAAATAATAATTTCCGGGGAATCAGGAGAAGAGGGTGAATATAATATGTCAAATAGCCATCTGACATTGTGAAAAGAGTGTCTGTCTTTAACAAACCCTGTTTGATCTGTGGAGATGATAGTAGTCAGAACAGATTCTAAACGTTTTGCTAGCACCTTAGCTAAAAGCTTGACGTCAGCACGAAGCAAAGATATAGGGCGGAAATTACCACAAAGAAGAGGATCCTTGTCCTTTTTCAGTATAAGAGAAATAGTAGCCTGACGTAGCGTAGGGGGAAGTGTGCCAGATTGAAACGATTCATTAAACATGTTAAGCAATAGAGGGGTTAACTTATCAGAAAACATTTTTTAAAATTCAGCAGGGAAGCCATCAGGGCCCGGACATTTCCCACTCTGCATCGACATTAGAGCAGCTTTGATTTCATTAACTGTGAAGGGTTCATCTAACCCAGACGATGTTTCAGGGTCAATGGAGGGGATGTTTAGGGACCTAAAGAAGTTGTCATATTGTGTGTCATCAGATGAGCTCTCAGAAGTATATAATGAACTATAAAAGTCCTTGAATTGGTCATTAATGGTTTGAGGATTAATAGATATTCCATCAGCAGTATTAATTTGAGTGATGTGCTGAGAGGAAGAGGATTGTCGAATTTGGTGGGCAAGTATTTTGCTCGGTTTATCTCCGAATTCATAGTAATTGTGGCGTGTTTTTAAAAGTGATTTTGTTGCCTCTTCTGAGGCCAAAATGTCAAATTCAGCCTTTTTTGTCAGTAATTCTTTGAGAATATCTGCACTGGGGGAGTCTACACATCTTGTCTGCAGATCCGATAAAGCCCTGGAAAGGCAGATACTCTTCTCAGTGTTGATTTTTCTTTGGTAAGCGCAATAGGATATTATTTCTCCTCTTAGATAGGCCTTGCACACTTCCCAAATTGTTGCTGCAGATACAGCCGGGTTAACATTAGTGGAAATATAAAGGTCAATGTGATTCCTAATAGTTTTGATAAAATCCGGGTCAGAAAGTAGTAGTGAATTGAAGCGCCAGGGGGAACGTGACAAGGACCTGCCGGGAAGAGAGATGTCAACAATGACAGTTGCGTTGTCCGATATAACTATAGGGCTGTATGAGCACGAGCTAACAGAGGGGAGCAATTTGTTATCAATAAGAAATAAATCAATTCGGGAGAAAGTACCATGAACAGGAGAAAAGAAAGAGAACTGCTTGGCACTAGGATAAAAAAAAAAAAGCGCCAGACATCTGAGACTGCGTATTGCTCCATGAACAGTTGGATAACTTTGGAAGATTTAGATGGGGCAGAGGGCTTGTTAGATGAACGGTCAAGTGAAGGATCAATACAACAGTTAAAATCCCCTCCCAGAATGAGCTGGCTGGAATTTATGTCAGGAATGGAGAAAAGAACATTTCTGAAAAAGTCCTCGTTGTCAAAATTCGGGCCATACACGTTCGCCAACGTCAGATTGTTGCCACATATTTTGCCAGTTGCGATAATAAAACGGCCACTTGGGTCTGATATAACATTGGACACAGAGAATGGGACAGATTTATGAACAATAATTGCAACGCCTCGGGCCTTACTTGAAAAGGAAGAATGGTAAAGCTGGCCCACCCACTCTCTGCGAAGTTTAAGATGGTCTGATGGTTGGAGGTGGGTTTCTTGCAAAAAGGCAATTTTTGTGTTTAAATGTTTTAGATGGTTAATCACATTGTTACGTTTCACAGAATAATTCAGGCCCCTGACATTCCAACTAGTAAATCTTAAAGCACCACTTCGTGCTGTTAAGGAGTTAGAGTTTAGCATACAATGATACTGGGCAGGTGGTGTACCTGCATGTCCCTGTCCTCATACCTGGCACCTCTCCCCCGCTGAC